TCAAAAACTTCTCCAGGTGACCTAAAAATGTCACACAGTGTGCGCTGGTGTTTGAGAAAACTGTTCTGACAAGCAGCAAAGGTCAGAATTAGATGTAAACATTTGCATAGGATATTTACGTGCCTTTACTTTCTGGACATAGCACGGCACTTAGACAAAGAAGAGAAATTACTCTTACGTTACAGGTGACAGGCCACGGCCCCACTCCCCCATTCAGCCCATTTTTCAAGACTCGTGGACTTGATGAACTAGTATTACAAACCATAACAAGAGCTAGGTAAGAAATTTCCCAGTGAGGGCGGCACCTGTGGCTCAGTGGGCAGGGCGCTGGCCCCCTAAACCAAGGGTGGTGGGTTCAAACCTGGCCCCAGGCGAACTGCAACAAAAAAATAGCCAGACACTGTGGCGGGCGCCTTAGTCGCAGCTACTCGGGAGGCTGAGGCAACAGAATTGCCTAAGCCCAAGAACTGGAGGTTGCTGTGAGCTGTGATGCCACAGCACTCTACCCAGGGTGACAAAGTGAGATTCTGTCTCCAAATATTCAAATACTTCCAACGAAAAGCAAACACAACAAAGCCATCAAAAGTTCAGTTAACTTTAACAAATAGTTTTCATTTTTTGAAATTAAGTACATAATACATTTTTACAAAATAATGTACATTTTTAAGTATGTCTAATTGACGTTTCTCAAATGTGACCTTATTTGTTTATAATTAATGCAGCCTTCTGACATGAAGATTCCCCAGTCCTGCACTTATCTATTATTACCACACAGTTCTGGACCCTCACTCCTGAACATTTCCTTCAGAAAGACTCCCCTTAAGCTCCTAGAATGGATTAGCGGCCACCCCATGTGCTTCCATTGTATCCTGCACTTCTGCTACTGGTAATATTGTCTCTGCCTTGTGATTGCTTATATGGTTCTTAACTGCCTCCTCTGCATGCTCTATAAAGAAAGGTCTTGCTCACCACTGTAATCACTAGCACGACACATACTAACTAGATGCTCAGTAAATTATGCTAAATTCACTCACTGCAGACACCCACACCATGCTCTACCATGTCGTCTCATCCCTAAAACTCTAGGTTTACTTTCCAGCCTGATTGAAATTAGTCCTTTACATTTCTGGGCACTTTTACTTGCCACAGATTTCTTGGTGCTTTTATTTGCCACATCTGCAGAGCCCCAGATTCACTGGTTACATTATAATTTTACTCTCGGAAAAAAACTTGTGGCAATCGCCTGATACCTCTATGTCTCCAATTACCAGCTCAAGATTGTTGTGATGATTCAAAGAACAAGCACATGTAATGTTAGCCTCGGAGCTAACATTAGGTGCCTAATACCTTTCTCTTTTTCTGGTACAATTTCTTGTTACTACCCATATCCAGTGTTTTCTAATAACAGTGCCTAGGATCTTATAGCTGTTCATAGTTTGTAAAGTATTTTTCCAAGACATTGTTTCTTATCAGCAGTTCTGCCAGGTGTACAATATTATCATGCTCATTTTAAAAATAGGGAAACTGAGGTCTAAAATGTTGAATCAGTTCACCCATGGACACAGTGGATCGCCATAACACACGGAATTATTCTAATACAAGTCTCTACTCACACTACATTCTACCGGTGTTTTTTCAGGGAGAAAAGAACTCAACATTAAGACCAGGAGTGAGAACCAGAGACTACTGGCCTGATTTACAGAATTGTATATGATTATAGTTACCAGACCCCAAGAATTAATGTCATCTTAGCACTGTCTCTAGAACCATTTTCTGTGGCTGGAACTTAGATGAGCTAAAGCAGTTCCTATAATTATGATTTTGATTGCCCTAGGCCTTGCCCTGGGCCTACTCAACTGTAAGTTTTTCCCACAGCCAAAGCAATCTTGCTAAAGTGCAATTAAGTCATGTTACCACTTCCTTCCACTTGCCAGCTTAACAGTAGCAAACCAATGGTGGGAGGGTGTCAGGGACATACAAAAACAAACTATCCTTAACTCCCCCCAACCCCGCCCCATTGATATGGCACTGTGCTTCAGTCTTCACTAAGGACAACCACTTTGGCCTAAAAGGTAAGAGTCTCTTGGGCAGTGGTCCTCAACTGTTACTCACCTGGGGAGCTTGACATAAAATACCAATTTCCAGGTCCACCACTGAGGATTTTAATTGGTTTGGGCCCAGCCATCAATATTTCCTAGATGACCACTGGGGGATTCCACTGGGCATCCAGGACTGAGAATCATTGTTAGGTAAGTGGAACTGCTGGATCGGCAGTTATCTGTTCTTGCTTCCTAGCGTGGCTCTTGGTGGAAGAATGACCAGACACTCCAAAAGCAAGTTAAGCAAGAAAGATTTATACAAAGAGTGAGCAAGATTTGTTTGCCACATACCATGAAAAGTTCCTTGTGGTAACAAGAGGCTCTGGGTATGGCCTAGGGTCTTGCTTTATAGTGTCTGGATTAGACCCTCCTTGTGGTTCAATGTCACCATTTAACCACTTTGATGGACAGGTAATGACATAATTAGCCTTCGGTTACACTAGGTCACTTGGGCAACCTCTGGAGGATAGACCACCCACCTTGGTCCCTGAGAGCCATAATCTCTAACAGAAAGACTGTTAGAGCGGGAAATCAAATATTCAATTTACCTTCTCCTCACAACGCCTATTCTAGAGACGGGGGGGGGGGGTAGAAAAGGATAGAAAGGTAATAAAAGGTAGAAAAGGGTAAAATGGGAGATAAGAATGAGCCAGTTACTTCCAGGGAAATCTCCACTGTGGATTCAGGAAAGGGACCACTGAAAACGGTTTCCTTAAACAGGGAAGTTCAGACGAAGCCAACTTTTAACATACACACGGTGCGTGGCGTCCTCCGGGGAGGTCAGGTCATTTCACCCCATTTTGCTTGAGGTGACCTGAGGCCGGAGACGGCGAAAAGCTTTGGCCAACTCACATGATTCCAGGGTCCTAATTTAGAATGCGGGTGAGCCTGGGGGGACACAGGGTGGTCGCCCGAACCCAACCAGGTGCTTTCCTCCTCAGGCCCAGCAAGAACCCGGGATGCGAACTTCAGCCTCGTCCCAACTTGAGGTAGAGGCGGCAGACTGCTTGACCCCACTCAGGGTTAAAGGGACCAGATCCCTCCTGGGGCTGGGGGGCGTGGCAGCCTTCTGGGAGGGGCGGGGAGAGAGGAGGAACACTCAAACGCGGCGACGGCGCTGACGTCATTTCCGCGCGCCGCCCAACGTCAGTGCCGTGCGCGGGCCGCGGCGGTGAGGTCTGCTGTAGAAATTAGATCTTATTCCCGCTTCTGAGAGCCATGGAGAGTGACTTTTATTTACGTTACTACGTAGGTCATAAGGGCAAGTTCGGCCACGAGTTCCTGGAGTTTGAGTTCCGACCCGACGGTAAAAGCAGCCCCCCGCCTCCCGGAAACAGAGACTAGGCCTGGGGGCGGGCAAGTGGGGAGGCCGAGGATTTGGAATTTGGAGGTGAAGGACTAAAAGGAGGAAGGGAATGAAACCTGTGCGGTGGCCGCCCCACTGGGTCTTTCTATCCATGTACCAGGGGACTTCTATTCAGTGACATTTTCGACCAGAGTATTTTCATTCAACAAACGTTGATTGCACGTCCACTTTGTGCCAGGCTCTGTTTCACTTTATGCGATCAGCAAAGATTGGCAAGCTTCCTCTCTTGTGGAACTTGTGTTTAAGTGTTGGGATAAACAAAAAGATAATTCCAGGTAGTGATGAGTGGTTAGGAAATAAAATGATAGAATAATTGGTGGGCGGGCGGCTTGTAGATAGGGTGGCCCTTACAGAGCTCTCTGGAGAAGAGATATTGAAACTGAACTCTGGCTGACAAGAAGGAGCTAGCTTTGTGAAGGTTCAGAGGAAGAGCATTCCACACAGAACAAGTGCCAAGTGTCAAGGCTGAGGGCAGGAATGAGGTGAGCATGTTGCCGGTGGTCAGTGTGGCTGAAGGGTAGTGAGTTCAGGGTAGGAGATGATGTTGGATAGCCAAGTAGGAGCCGCAGTTTGGAGGGTAGGTCTTTATGGTACAGAGGTTGGAATTGGAATGTTATAAGCAGAGAAAAGATGTGATATGTTCTTGATAAAGTGTTCTACCTATAATGTGCTGAATGGGCAAGAGTGGAAACCGGGCACCTGATTAGGAGATGGTTGCAGTTGTCAAGATAAGTGGAATGTTGATTGGGACCAGAGAAATAGTGTGGAGAGAAGGATTTAGGATACTGTTGGTGGAAGAACCAGTTGGACTGTGTCATTGTGGGATTGGGGGAGAGGGCACTATGGTGAGGGAAAGAGGAATCAAAAATGACAGAAAACATCCACTCAGTGAGGGGATAAAGATGAATCTGATAAGCCCTACGAGGGAGACAGATTTGTACACAGTGAGGGTATTTTGGGTGTTGTGGTAAAGAGAAATAGAGGAACCTCTCAGAGCAGGGAGGAGGCACCTATCCTAGCCTCAGAGTCAGAGAAGACTTCCTACATAAAATGATGTGAAGTGGCTGGAGGGCCGGGGGATTATAGGAGTTGGTTAGGAGTCCAGGAAAAGTCTAGAAGGTATTTTGGACAGCATTAGTAGCAAAGAGGCTGAAAACTAAAAAGCGCATAGGATGTTTCAGGCAGAAACCAAGAAGTTTGATGGACTCCAGCAGTGTGAGAGAGGAATATTGCAAGAGTGTAGCTGGAAAGGCAGATGCCCTCAGATTAGCTATAAGCAATTGATGGTATCAGAGTAACCTAGTAAGACAGGTCTGATACTAAATCACTTTGTTCACTGAATGGAGAATGCACTGAGGGGAAGAGACTTCAGGCAGAGGAACTGTGCAGAACATTTCTAATAGCCCTGACTTTTGAAATAAGTTCATTTGGCTCTTTACATGTGTGTTTTCTAGTCTACAGGGGGAAAAAAGTCATGTCTTCTATTTCCTTTGTTTTCTTCTTTATCCCCACACCATGTACTCAGATTAGCCTGTTGGAGGCACACATGCACACACAGAGCTTTGCGTACCAAATGTGCGCAGTGATAAAAGCACATTTCCATCACAGAAATAGATCACAGTGTTACACAGTCCCACAATAATATATATAAATAGCATCCTACAGTTATCAAAATGCCTTTACATCCTAGCACTCTGGGAAGCCAATGCAACAGGAATGTTTGGGCTTAGGAGTTTGATACCAACCTGAGCAAGAACCTGTTCTCTACTGAAATACAGAAAAATTATCCGGGTGTAGTGGTGCAAGTCTGTAGTCCCAGCTACTTGGGACTCAAGAGAATCACTTGAGCCCAAGTGTTTGAAGTTGCTGCGAGCTGTGATACCATAGCACTCTACCCAGGGTGACAGAGAGAGACTCTGTTTCAAAAAATAAAATAAAAAGAAATGCATTTACAACTTATTTGAGCCCTAGGAGGTCCTGTGTGCAGGTAAGTTACCAATTACTATCCTTCGTTTTAGCTGAGGACATTAACCTGCAAAAATGTGATTTGCCAGAGTCACAAAAGAGCCAGCGTATGTTCTTTGACCACAGCCTCTCGCCTTGGCCTCCCAGAGTGCTAGGATGTAAAAGCATTTCTGAGCAGCCTTTTGCCAGAATTACAGTTCAGAGTCGGCTGCTGTGAGGCTATTTAATAGCCTGAAGTAAAGAACTGACATGATTAATATTGTTGAAATACCAAAGGTATAAATAGTAAATGTTAAGACACATTGAAGACCAAATTAGAATATGTTTTAGGCAATAGTTGGTAGTCTTTGTAGGCTAGTAATGCTTTATTTTAATTGTATGTTGAATTTGTTTTTTTCCCTCACAGGGAAGTTGAGATATGCCAACAACAGCAATTATAAAAATGATGTCATGATCAGAAAAGAGGTATGAGCCTTCATTCACTCCACAGTTTGAGCCTTTTGTCTTGGGTGCAGTTTTTGTTCTTTCTGGAAGTAGTATTGACAGGTAAAGAACAGAGCAGTGTGTATATATATACATATCTGTAGACAGCTTCTGGATTAATTCTCAAATCTTATAGTTTATATATTCTTTTACAGTGCCAAATCAGTTACTGGTAACCATTCAAAGTCTGGCATACCTTGTTTTGAAACCTGAATCTGCTGCTTAACCATGTGACCTTGGGCAAGTCCCCTGTCTGAACTTGATAAATTTTCTGTTTTTTCATCTGTGAAAAGAAGGATAATAAAACCTACCTCCACTCCTCTGTTGCAGAATTAAATATATTACATTTAATGTGCTTGGTATGTTCCCTAGTACATAGTACTCAATGGGAAGAGCATTTAATTTGCATCTGAGGGGAGTGTAGGGAGCGTAGTAAAGCAGTTAACATCATTGAATGTATGTTAGATATCAGGCATGGCACTAGGTATTTTACATATATTTTATTTAACCTTGATTATAAGCCCATGTGATGGGGGGGTATTATATATCCCCTTTACAAATAAGAAAATGAAGGCCTAGATAATAACTGTGGGGCTTGTTTTTAAGACACCCTTGCTTGTAAGAATTACAGTGGGATTTCATACCCATGCCTACCTCTGTAAAAATCTATATGCTCCATTCTGCTGTGATTTCTGCCACACAGTTAAGGCTTGATCAGATTTACTCTTTCCTTTTAACCATGTTATTGCATTTGAAAAGTCTTAACAGTCAATATATTTTCATATTATTACATTTAATTAGCTATTGATTTCATACTTATCTATACATGTCAAAATCCTCACTGCTAGTCTGTAAAATGTATTTTAAAAACATCTCTCTGCTCCTCAGAAGCATATTACTTAGCTGAGAATAAACAGCACCATTTTGTGCTGCTATAACAAAATACCTGAGACTGGGTAATTTATAAGCAATAGAATTTTCTCACAGGTTTGGAAGATGGTAAGTTTGGTTTCCGGTAAGGGTCCTGTCTCTGCTTCTAAGATGGTGCCTTATTACTAGATACTCCAGAGGGAACAAATGCTGTGTTCTTATAAATAGCAAAGGAGCATAAGGGGCCAGCTGGTTCCTTGAGCTCTTTTTAAGGCACTGATCCATGAGGGCTCATGGTTTACAATAGGCTCATTGTATACCCTCATGGCTTAATCACCTAACAGCACTACTTCTTAATACTGTTGAATTGGGATTAAATTTGAACATGAGTGTTGGAGGGAACATAAGGTGCATTCACAGATGTGTTTGGGGTGCAGGTATGAATTGGGTAGGTGAGCAGGGAGAAGGTCCATGTGAAGAGGATGTGCCAGGAGGTGGTAACAAGTAGATAGGATACTGGAGTGTAGTTACTGGGTACTTCTGACCCTGTCTCTCTCCTTAAGCATGCTGAGGTCAAGTGTGAATGTCTTCGCAATTAAGGAGCTGCCAGAAATAAGTCTGTAGGAGTGGTTGTTTTTATCTTACATCACTTTCTGAGTCAAAGCACTGCTTATGGATACAACTTCAGTTTTGCTTTTTAACTTGCTTTCAGGCTTATGTACATAAAAGTGTGATGGAGGAACTGAAGAGAATAATCGATGACAGTGAAATTACCAAAGAGGACGATGCTTTGTGGCCACCTCCTGACCGAGTGGGCCGGCAAGTGAGTGTTTTATTGATCATCCTATACTGCAGAAATCTTATAAGTAAGATAAGGTTTGTTGCAATAGGGAGAAATGAAGAAAGCGAGTGGTACTGCTGGCCACTTAGAGCCCAGCCCTGAATTTCTTCTTCTGACAACCCTCGTTCTCAAATCTTTCACTGCCCACCTCACGTACTGAGTAACCAGTATGGACAAAGCATTGTAGGCATACAGATAAGTAGAACATAATTGTTTCAACAATCTAATGGAAGGAAAATCATACAACTAAGTGTATTATGTAAATTTATGGCTTATATGTTCATTCTGAAGAACATTTTCATAATTAAAAATAGAAAAACCACTCTCAAGTTTGAATGAACAGAAAAGATATTTCTGCCTCAACAGCTGAAACCCTAATTCAGACTTCTTTCCTATTTCTTCTGTCCCATATTATCCATTTTTCCATCCTGAAGCAAATGTGATCTTTAAAAATATATATTTATTTGTGTATTCCACTGATTGAAATGCTTCAGTGGATTCCCACTGCACTTAAATCCCAAACTCCAACCTTATCTTGTGTCATGCTCACAATCTCTGTGTTCAAGCCTTACTAGCCTCATTCTGTTCCTCAGACACACCTAGGTGGATCTTACTGTAAGGCCTTTGAACGTGTCACATTCTGCCTAGAATATTTTTCCTTTAACTCTGTACAAAACTATTATTGAAGTCTTCAAAAGTTACTTTCTCTCAGGCTCGATGCCATAGCTCAGTGGTTAAGGCGCCAGCCATATTCACTGGGGCTGGCGGGTTTGAACCCAGCCTGGGTCTGCTAAACAACAACAACTGCAACAAAAAAATTGCCAGGCATTGTGGCAGGCATGTAGTCTCAGCTACTTGGGAGGCTGAGGCAAGAGAATCGCTTAAATTGCTTAAGCCCAAGAGTTTGAGGTTGCCATGAGTTGTGATGCCATGGCACTCTAACGAGGGCAACATAGTGAGACTCTGCCTCTAAAGAAAGAAAGAAAATAAAGAAAAAGTTAGGACAATAAGAAGATGACATTTTGAACCTGTTAACAAAGAAAACTCAGCATTTTAAGGATATGAGAAAAAAAGGTGTTCTTATTATAGTAATAATAGACCTGGGAATAGAATTAAAATTAATACAGCTGCTTTAGGGAGCAATTTGTAGTATCAGGCACAATTTTGGGGGAGTTTTTTTGTTTGTTTGTTTGTTTTTTGAAACAGCCTTACTATGTCTCTGTTGGTAGAGTGCTGTGGCATCACAGCCCATAGCAACCTCAAACTCTTGGGCTTAAGAGAGTCTCTTGCCTCAGCCTCCCAAGTAGCTGGGACTACAGGCACCCGCCACAATGCCTGGCTATTTTTTTTGTTGTTGTAGTTGTTAGCATCATTTAGCAGGCCCAGGCCAGTTTGAACTTGCCAGCCCTGGTGTATGTGGCCGGTGCCCTAACCACTGAGCTGTGGGCGCCAAACCTCAGGCACAGTTTAAAATACTTATCATACTTCTAGGAATTTTCCTGGAGACATTTTCACATATGTATGACAAGATGTGTAGAAGACTATTCTTGCCACATTGCTTATATAGTAGAACTTATAAGTTAACCACCCAAGGAACCGTAACAAACTGGTCAACATATAGATGTGCTCAGTATAGGATCTGAACCTACTTTCCTGATGAGGGACATGTGTGGCGTGTCTAGTCTATGGAAGTTAGGTCAACTTGATGTGGTCAATGTAGAGAAGTGGTCAACGATGGAGGTTCTGCTGTAGTAACAAAAATTTGGAACTTAAGTCTGCTTCAATTAGGGAAATAGAATACTTAGCCTAAAACACTTAAAACGAATGAACTAGATCTACATAACTCAACATGAATAAATCTCAAAAACAATATTGAATGGAAAAAGCAAAAAAATACATATAGAATGACCATTTTTATAAAAAAAATTTTTTTTTGAGACATAATGTCACTGTGTCACCCTGGGTAGAGTGCCATGGTGTCACTGTAGCTCACAACAACCTCAAACTCTTGGGCTTGAGTGAACCTATTGCCTCAGCCCCCTGAGTAGCTGAGACTACACGTGAGTGCCACTATACCTGGCTAGTTTTTCTATTTTTAGTAGAGATGAGTGCTTGTGCTTGCTCAGCGAACTCCCAAGTTCAAACAATCTACCTCAGCCTCTTAGAGTACTAGGATTACACTGCACCTGGCCAGTGTAAAATTTTTAGAACATACCACCAAATCTAAAACACGAGTAGAATAGATATGCTCCAACTTCAGGGGACGCAGGAAGAACAGAATGGGAGGTGAACATAAACTTTGTAATATTTCGTTTCTTTTAAAAAAATCTCACACAAGCATGACAAAATACTGTTTCTCAAATCTGGGTATTGGGAACATTGATCTCTAATTTTTTCTATTTTCTGTTAGAATTATAAATCAAAAATAGGAAAAAAAGAAAAAATCAGTAGAGTTCACCAGACTGTACATTCCACAGGGCAGGTAGTTCTTTGGTTTTGTTTGGTTTTACCTGTCCTAAGTACTGAGAACAGTCCCTGGCACATACTAGGTGCTCCCATAGATGTTTTATGAACATTTACCGTACTCATGTCACTGAGACCCAAGGTCATGCAGCTAGGAAGTGACAAAGCTGGGGTCAAACCCAACGTTTTGCTTGTCCCATATCCCCCAGAAAGGTTAGATCCTTTGTTTTGTTTTGTTTTGTTTTGTTTTGTTTTTATCAGGGCTGGGTTTGAACCTGCCATCTCTGATATATGGGACCAGCACCCCACTCCTTGAGCCACAGGTGCCACCAATCGTTTGGTATTTTTAAAACACAGATCTATCCATGTTACTCCACATTGTTAACAATGAAAGCTTATATATAAAATAGTATATAAATTCTTCCAAATCTCAGAAATGGTAGAGCCTTGAGGATACAGTTTTTTCTAAAAGTATGAGCTTCTTAAGGGCTAAACTATTATCTATCTGCTTCTAGAACCTAGCACACTTTAGAGCTCAGAGTGAAATGCCCTTGTTTTTGTGGCCATCTGTAGTAGAGTTTGTGATTTGGCAAATGATAAGCCCTTCTCTTATGTGCTTGATGAATAATCTAGTTCTTTTCAACTTTGCTTTTTTTTTAATATGTTTTTAGGAGCTTGAAATTGTCATTGGAGATGAACACATTTCTTTCACAACATCAAAAATTGGTTCCCTTATTGACGTCAATCAATCCAAGTAAGTGTACATGATCCTTACATCCAGTTGTGTCTGTTTTGGAGCAATAAGAAACCCTTAGCCCAACTGTAACCATGATAGGAAGATCTGATGCAAATGCAGAACAGAGGTGGCAGCTTTGTCCTCCTTGTTGGGGAAAGACGCTAAATATTTTTGAAGGCTTGCTCCTATTACTTTTGGTGTTTCATTTGATCACTGCTACTAAGAGCGTCTCGGTGACATTCACACATACAGATTAATGCACAGGAGCAGCCAGAACAGAAAGTGAAATATGCCAAAACAAGCACACAGGACAAACTTAGCTTCACCAAGTCTGAATAGCTTTTTCGGTATTGACCATTCAGACTGGAGCATCTTAAATCTGACTTTGATAAAACTTGAAATTTTTTAGGATCTGAATTTTAAAATTCATGTTATCAGTGTGGCAAAGTATAAAGTTGAGCTGTGAGTCTGTGTGGTACAAAGGATCCTTAAGAATTTGGCAACCTTGGGCAGCACCTGTGGCTCAGTGGGTAGGGTGCCAGCCTCATATACTGAGGGTGACGGGTTCAAACCCAGCCCCAGCCAAAATGCAACAAAAAAGTAGCTGGGTGTTGTGGTGGGCGCTTGTAGTCCCAGCTACTCCAGAGGCTTAAGGCAAGATAATCACCTAAGCTCAGGAGTTGGAGATTGCTGTGAGCTATGATGCCTCAGCACTCTACCAAGGATGATGAGCTGAGACTCTGTCTCTAAGAAAAAAAAAAAAAAAAGAATTTGGCAACTTCTTTGGCTCTTGTATTTTGAGGATTTGGGAGTAGATACGGCTCACTTTTAGTAAATACTGAGCATAATTGTCTTCCTTTGTATAGTCTCCTTGTTCTTAGCTAGTGATGCCATAGTAATCAACTTCTTGGTCCTGCATGTATTACTTTTTTAAAAAGTTTTCCTAATTCTGAAAGTAATATGTGCTCACTACAGAAAATACAGGAACAAGGTAGAAAGTGAAAATTGTCCATCATTAGATAAACTTCATTAATGTCTTGTTAGCCTTTTTTCTCTGTACATTAAAAAATACCATTTTTAAAAAGCACAAAAAACACACTTGAAATCAATCTGTTATTTTAATCATGATTTTTTTCACTCAGTGTGTAAACACTTTACCATCTTAAAAATTCAGTGTATTTAAATGATCTTATATTCCATTTTAATGTAGCCTTTTCCTTCTTTATGGACCTTTGATTGTTCAGTTTTAACGCTGTCAGTATCTTTATAAGGAACATCTTAGTAGATAAGTAATTAGGTTTATTAAGTGGTGTTTTTTTGCCAGTTTTCCTCAGTTTTTAAAACATTTTTCTCCCTTGTATTTTAGGGATCCAGAAGGTTTACGAGTATTTTATTATCTTGTCCAGGACCTGAAGTGTTTGGTCTTCAGTCTTATTGGATTACACTTCAAGATTAAGCCAATCTAGGTTGAATATTGCTGTGGACATGAGGGGGGTGGGAGTAGTTATTACCATTATTAGGAAATTTTTGTGTATATCAGGGCAATATTTTTATAAACTATAAATGATTGTCTTTAATAAATGTGATAAAATCCAATTTTTATTATTTTATAAAGACCTGAATGTGAACTTGTCTCAATTTCTTTGTACAACACTAACATCGTATGCAAAGTATTGCCCCCAAATGGAATCTAATCAATCATCTAGATATAACTACCATTTTATAGGAAATAAGAGAATAGAGAAAAATGCTAAGAAAATTATAATGGGAATCCAATGAGGAATTGGATTTCCTCCAGTTTCTAGAGGAAATTCCAGAACAAACCACATGGTTTCTTTAATAAATTGCAAAGGAAACAAAGGGAGTGGGAAAATATAAAAGAGATTTAAGAGACACATTAATCTGTTTGGACCCTATTTGGACCGTGATTCAAAAAGGAAATTTGAACTCTTAATTATTTGATGATTTTTATCAGTACTGTTAATTTTTTTTTAAGTGTGAAATAGTACTATGGTTAGGAATTTATTTATTTTTGAGAATCGCACTTTATTGCTCTGGGTAGAGTGTGGTGGTGTCATAGCTCTCAGTGACCTCAAACTCTTGGGCTTGAGCAATCCTCTTGTCTCAGCCTCCCAAATAGCCTGTATTGGGACTATAGCTGCCTGCCACAATGCCCGGCTAATTTTTAGAGACGGGATCTTGCTCTTTCTCAGGCTGGTCTTGAACTCCTGAGCTCAAGCAATCCACCCACCTCTGCCTCCCAAAGTGCCAGGATTACAGGCATGAGCCACTGAGCGGGGCCCTAGTATTGTGGCTGGGGCTTTTAAAATCACCTTTTAGAGATAAGAACTGTGTTTCAGTAGTGTTATGTGTGGAAATACTTCAGTTTAGTACGTTACAAGAGATAAAATACCTGACCTGGTCTTAGAAAAGTTTTACATTAATCCATTTTTTAAATCAGAACAACAGCCAGTTAGGACTGAAACCAAATTGGTACAGACTGGGAATCTGTTCAGCAGGTAGAGCTGTAGGAACTTCTTGCCAATAGTGTACTGTTTCTTTAGGCAAATTGTTGATTGAACAGATTGCACCTGCTAAAAGGAACTAGACTTGATAGGCCTCATTTGAACGGAATTAATTACAACTCACATCCCTAAACACTGGCCATCTTGATACAAGGTCCCAAGTATTCTGACTCCTGGACCTCTTCACTACACTCTGCCGCCTGCAGAGACTATGGGGCAAGTGAGAAGCAATGCCAAGATGTCAGGGCTTCTGAATCCAGTGCACCTCCTCCTATAAGGGTACTTGGGGCAATGAGGCAAAAAGTCGCCTCATCCACCTGGTCTTCAAGTACTAAAAAAAAAAAAAAAGAAATGACAGTGAAGACCTCAGAAGATTATGAAAGGGTTCTTGGATGGGCTGTTCCTTCTAACATTGATGTCTGCAGCTCCGGCATGGTCTCAGATGTACCCCGATTAGAGGCCAAGTAAACAAGGTTCAGTGAACATATGACAGAGGGACAAGCCAGGTGGGAACCCAAAGAGCCAGCTGAAGTAGGCGGGACGGTCCCGATTTTCAACAATTTGTCCCGTGTCCCGCGGCGTTTTAAAAAAGTCACGATTTTTGGAAAGAATGCACAAACGGGCGGGAGAACAGTAAGGGAATATACGGTTTTCGGCTGCCATGTGGCTATTTCGCCAGGATATCAGTTTTATATTATTTTTGTTAATTTTGTAATGTTAAACTGTAATAATAAATAATTGTTAAGTGATTATCGTGAACTGCTTATCAAAGTTTGCATTGTTGTCAGGCCCAGCCCCCGCCTCACCCCCAGTCAATGGTGTCCCGCTTTACCAATGTTAAAATCTGGTCACCTTAAACTGAAGGGGAGCATCTAGTCCCAGGGACCACGATAAAAAGGGCGCGGACACTTGGCAACTCTGAAGAGTGGCCTGCAAGCCAGGTCTCAGTCGGAGAAACGAAAGGCATCATCTCCAAATCTGCGAGGCTGCAGAGGGAATCGACGTGATCTGACAAGTTTCAGAGGGCAGGCAGACTAATGAAGAGCCAGGAACGAGAACTGGGGGCAGGAGGATGCCAAACAGAGGTTTTGTACAGAGGCTGTTTTGTTCGCTTAGTGCTGGCACAAAATCGGCGTGCGTTACCGATTCCTGGAGGCATGCTTCAGCCGGACTGAGCAGCGGTTAACCGCGGACTTATCTAACATTCACAAGTTGCAGTTAGTTCACCTGCCGAGAAGAACCGGGCGGAGAGGCGGGGCAAGCGGCGCGCAAGCCCCGCCCCTCCCCGAGGCCGCGCACTGAGGGTGCGCAGACCGCGTCCGCCTTTTACGACGGGCCGGAAAGTAGCGGCCGCAACCAGCCGCAGGCTGAGCCGGGACACTATGGGGGTGAGGGGAGGCGACTCGGCTGCCGGGCATGGAGGGACAGGGGGCAAGGATCTGGGAGGCAGACGTTCGCGCCGGAAGGGAACGAAGGGCGTGGGCTCGCGTTGAAGGAGTGGGATGCAGAGCCCGTGCAGGGAGGGGCAGGGCGGAGCCGACGGTGGGGACTAGGCGGTCCCTTGTGGGCCGGCGCAGGCGCAGCTGACGCGGATTCTGTGGCCCTCCCTCTCCTCAGAAAATAGCGCTGCAGCTCAAGGCCACGCTGGAGAACGTCACCAACCTCCGACCAATGGGCGAGGACTTTCGGTGGTACCTGAAGGTGCGCGGGGATGACCCGGCCCTTGGACCGGGAGGAGGGAGGAGTGTGTAGAGGCAGTGAGGCTTCTAGGGGTTTTCGGTAGGGCCAGCTAGGGCCAGACCCCGGGAAGAGGTGACCCATCCTCATCTCAGTACAGGCCAGGAGCTTTTTCTCCGGTCGCATGAGAAATACTTAGGCAGACACGTTAAATGTTAGGGTTTTTTTCTGATTCGGATTTTAGGTTTGCTTTTTTAAGTTTATTGGTTCATCTTTAATTGGCAGTCTTGGAGCTCTTCCTTTTGTAATTTTTGCCTTTGTTAAATCTTTCGTGGTCTTAGTAAACAGATACTAAATGAAATGCTACGTGAAGGGACCTTGTCATTATTTAATAAGGTGAATAATTTCTCCTTTGGTTTTATTTGTTGATTTGTTTTTATTTATTGTGAAGTAGGTCGATTTTAAGCATAATTCACCCTTCTCTTTCCATGTTGGTAAAATCTGGTACCCTGGTGTCATGGGCTGCAGAAGTTCTACTACTGCACAGTTTGAGGCCCTTCACTATCCCAGAGCTTCTGCTTTATTTTCCTCCTAGTCCAGGCATTCTTCTGTACCTGCCCAGAGCCCTATCCTTTAAGGAGTTATCTCTGCTCACTTTTATTTCCAAGTATTTTGAAGCCTGAGTGCCAGGGCTTACTTGGGCAATCGGTATTTTTGGCTTAGGCAGCACAAAGTCTAGTGAAGGAGACAGGAAAATAGAGTGACAACAGATTGATTACAGACAATCCTTGAGTTACACACATCCAACTTAGGCACAACTCACACTTACGAATGGAGGTTATTACAGTAAATCCTTGAGTTACACACATCCAACTGACATACAACTCAGACTTAGAAATGGAGGTATTATAGGTAAATGTACCTGTTTCATCTTACATGCAAGTTCAACTTAAGAACACACCTACAGGCTCGGCGCCTATAGCTCAACCGGCTAAGGCTCCAGCCACGTACACCTAAGGTGGCGGGTTCGAATCCCCAGCCCGGACCCGCCAAACAACAATGATGGCTGCAACCAAAAAATAGCCAGGCGTTGTGGCAGGAGCCTGTGGTCCCAGCTACTTGGGAGGCGGAGGTAGGAGACTCGCTTGAGCCCAGGAGTTGGAGGTTGCTGTGAGCTGTGATGCCATGGCACTCTGCCCAGGAGACAGCTTGAGGCTCTGTCTCAAAAAAAAAAAAAAAAAAAAAAAAAAGAACACACCTACAGAACCGCTCTTATTTGTAACCTGGGGACTACCAGGTAGCCCCTTTGGGGCATAGGGGAATCCAAACGGAGCTCTCAACCAAGCAGAGGCGGTGCAGGGCCTGTTGAAGCCATTTCTGTACCACGTGAACCTTGAATCATCTGCGGGACAGGGCACTTTTTAGAGGAGGGTGGGTATGTCAGCATAGCAAACAACTTGATCTGTCCTTTGCCCAGAGAGAAGTCCAGTTATGTCCTTTTGGGGGCTAGTTGTAAGGATGAAGAGAGTGTCAACAAGAAAGTAGATTGTAAGTCTACCCACCCCACATTTTCTTTTCCTTCCCTCGGTGTCTGCCCCTTTGAGCCACTTGATTTACTAATACTTTTCTTTCCTTCCAAGATGAAATGTGGCAACTGTGGTGAGATTTCAGAGAAATGGCAGTACATCCGGCTGATGGTAACTGTTCCCTACCACCACCATACCCACAAATACAAATACACCTCTGGGGAGGAATTGGGGAAACTGACCCTAATCTCCCTCGTCCTTTTGGGCCCATTTTTTTTTGAGTTTTGAGGGGCAGTCATCATTGTGTGCAGCACTGGGAACAGCAGGCATATTTGGGATGTGAAGCAGAGTTCAGAATTAAGGGGAAGCCCTTTCCTCATTCGCAAGAAGCCTCCCCAAGGTTCTTGTCATAACAAGTCACTCCCCCTCTCTGAATTTTGGTCTCTTCAACTGGATAATAAGTAGTGGGACTGGATATCCTCAGGACCCTAGCATTTCCTTGATGTGTAACTAGCGGTTCTGTTTGCTCTTTGCCAGGACAGTGTGGCCGTGAAGGGTGGGCGTGGCAGCGCCTCCATGGTCCAGAAGTGCAAACTTTGTGCACGGGAAAACTCCATTGGTAGGTTGGGCCAAGAATACTGAGTTCTGCCAAGCTGGCCCACAGTTACCTGGTACCAGACCAAAAACAGGCTCTTGTTATCTATGGGTGGACTCAAGCAGAAGCCTGTGCAGTGATCTCTTTCCCACTGCCACATTTGGGTACCTTGGTGGGGCCAGGGTATAGACTCAAGTCAACTTTGTGTTTTTTATGTTTCAGACATTTTGAGCAGCACCATCAAGCCTTACAATGTAAGTTTGTTGCTGTGGTGGCAGGTGTTTTGGATTTGAATCTAAACTGGGAGGTAGGCTCGGCGCCTGTGGCTCAAACAGCTAAGGCGCCAGCCACATACACCTAAGCTGGCGGGTTTGAATCCAGCCCAGGCCCACCAAACAACAATGATGGCTGCAACCAAAAGATAGCCAGGCATTGTGGTAGGCGCCTGTAGTCCCAGCTACTTGGGAGGCAGAGGCAGGAGAATCGCTTGAGCCCAGGAGTTGGAGGTTGCTGTGAGCTGTGATGCCACGGCACGCTACCCAGGGTAATAGCTTGAGGCTCTGTCTCAATAAATAAATAAATAAATAAATAAATAAATAAACTAAACTGGGAGGTAGGAGGCCTGGGTTCTAGAGTTACACCTGTGTCAGAGTGACCCATCACAGGATATTCATGTGTGTACTTACTCAGTTGTTCATTCACTCAGTCATTTAGTACCAAACACTGAGCAGTTGGCGAGAAAAAGACTCATCAACAGGCTGTTGCAGTGCCTTATAAACTCTGTGCTGTGGGAGCTTGGGGCACTGCTGACCCACCTGGCTGCTTAGTTTGCATCACTGAGAGCACTTGCCTTGTCTACGTTTTAGGGGACGTGAAAGCCTTCTCCAAAACCACAGGTGGAACAGTCCTTGGATGCATCCATAACATTATAGCATGGATGTTATTAGATAGTTATTTGACAGTACATAACAAGCCCAAAGGTGAGACAGAGTGTGTTTTGGGTCTTTTTTATTTAAAGGACAGTTATTTGTATTTACTCATTCCTCATTTGATATTTACTTAAAATATCTCAATCATGCCAAATTCTTGGCTTTGTTTTGAAGTTAAATGAGGATTTGCCCTCAAGTAAAAATCATGGTGTGGTTGGTGTGCAGGAAATTATTTTACAGTAGACAACAGGAAGAGACTGAATGTGTGAGTATGGTGCTTGGGGTCTCTGGGCCTGTGGGTCAGGTAAGCAAGAGTTTCCTGGCCACCTACCCACAAGAGGTATCCCTTCCCACATACATATGCCATGCCAAAGGCTCTAGGTCACTAGGTCAGCCCTCTGCCCTCGTAGCATGGCAGAGGGTTAGCAAAAGGCTAGATAGCTGTGTGTACCAGGACTGTGTGGATGATTTGGAGATCTTGTAGCTCAACATTCTTGTTCATATTTGTGTGTTATCTGTCATTTATTGAACATGTAAAGTACTGTGCTGAGCACTTAACTTATATTCCAGATTCTCAAAATAAACTTGTAGATGTCTCCTCAGTTTTGTTCAAGATCAGGAGTAGGCCTGGAGGGGAAGAGAGGCAGAGCTCAGCCTCACAGCCAGCTGGGCTGACCCCAGAATCAGTACTTTTTCTGCAGTACTCATGTGCACAGAAAGCCTCATGGGGATCAGGTGCCAAAGCAGGCTTCTTTTAAGAAGGGAATGAGTTGTTCCCAGGTCCCATTTTAGAGGGATAGGGGCAGGAAGGGCGGGGGCCATGGAGCCATCTGGGGCCCATTTGAGCTTACCTTCTCACCACTCTTTCTAGGCTGAAGACAATGAGAAGTTCAAGACAATAGTAGAGTTTGAATGCCGAGGCCTTGAACCAGTTGATTTCCAGCCACAGGTTTGTGCCTTTGTAGGTAACCTGTATGGGGAGGGCGTGTAGTGAAGCAGAACTATGCTTCCTGCAGAGACCAAGGACTGGGAATGACTGTCATTTATCAGGTGGTCACTATATGCTGGGCACAGTAGCTGTCACTTTCACATGTTAATTCATTTAATCCCCATAGTAACCCTATGAAGCTGTTCATCCTATTCTTCAGAGGAGGAAAGAACTTCACAGGTTTTGTGATTTGCCCAGGGTCATACAGTGAGCAGTGGGGTTGTGATTTGGTCCCAAGTCTGTCTTACTCTAGAGTTAGTGCTCCTCCCTTTTGGTTTGTGCAGCCTTTTTTTTTTTTTTTTTTTTTTTTGAGACAGACCCTCAAGGTGTCGCCCTGGGTAGAGTGCCGTGGCATCACAGCTCACAGCAACCTCCAACTCCTGAGCTCAAGCGAGTCTCCTGCCTCTGCCTCCCAAGTAGCTGGGACTATAGGCACCCACAATGCCTGGCTATTTTTTGGTTGCAGCCATCATTGTTTGGCAGGCCAGGGTTGGATTCGAACCCGCCAGCTCAGGTGTATGTGGCTGGTGCCTTAGCTGCTTGATTCATAGGCAACAAGCCTCCTTTTTTTTTCTTTTTTTTTTTAGAGACAAAGGCTTACTTTGTCACCGGCGGTAGAGAGCAGTGGTGTCATAGCTCACAGCAACCTCCAGCTCTTGGGCTTAGGCAATTCTCTTGCCTCAGCTTCCTGAGTAGCTGGGGCTACAGGCACCTGCCACAATGCCTGGCTATGTTTTTTGTTTTTACGGTTTGGCTGGGGCTGAGTTTGAACCCGCCACCCTCAGTTTCCTCAGTATATGGGGCCAGTGACCTACTTACTGAGCCATAGGCACCACCCTGTGCAGCTTTGCATGTTACAACAAATCTGAGGCAGACAGAAGAGAGAATACCATCATCCCCATTTCGTAAATAAGAAAACTAAGGTCTGGTCCAGAGAGGGGAGTGACATGTCCAAGGTGGTTCAGCAAATCAAGGGTAGCAGAAGAATTCACCCCACACCTCCTGCCTTCTGGTCCTGAAGAGGCTGCCAGCTCTCTGTCTTTCATCTCAAAGGCATTGCAAGAAGAGCTAGCCACCCGACAGCCCTCACGCGTCAGCCCAATGCCTCCTTTTCCCACGACTAACTGCTGGCTTCCTGTCCTCTGCAGGCTGGGTTTGCTGCTGAGGGTGTGGAGTCAGGGACAGTGTTCAGTGACATTAATCTGCAGGAGAAGGTATGAAAGTTGGGGTTCTTGCATGGTATTGTAGGGTGCCTGGTGGAAATTATCCTTTTGGTAAACAAGGCTCAGCAATGGAAAACCCACAATATTTTTGTGCTTTTTGTTGGTGATTTCACTATTTATATGGCCCAAATGTAGGGCTCTCTGGTATACATGCATGGAGGCTGTGATGTGCCTCACAGGGAAAATGAGTGTTAGATAGGCCTTGTTCTGACATGAGTTATAGTGCTGCTGGCCATGAGTTCAATGTTAATAAATCAACATTGTATATTAAGGAAGGTGTCTTTAAACAGTAGTACCAGGTGGCGTCTGTGGCTCAGTGGGTGTGGCACCAGCCCCATATACCGAGGGTGGCACGTTCAAACCTGCCCTTGGCCAAACTGCAACAAAAAAATAGCCGGTGTTGTGGCGGGCACCTGTAGTCCCAACTACTCGGGAGGCTGAGGCAAGAAAATCACCTAAGCCTAAGAGCTGGAGGTTGCTGTGAGCTATGACACTACAGTACTCTACCAAGGGCAACAAAATGAGACTCTGTCTCTACAAAATTAATAAATAAATAGTAGTACCACATGAAACAAGATTACTTATTGATCAGAGCCCACAGGAACCTAACCCTACATTTCCCTGGGAGCAGTATTTGCAGTGACTTTAAAGAGCCTTGCTACAGTGAACAACAAGAAATAGTCTCTATTCCTGGACGTGTTACTACCCTGGTGATAGAAAAGCCTTGCGCTCAGGCCTTGAAAGAAGGACAGAAACTTGGTTTAGTTTGCATAGCGCCCCATAGTAATAGTAGCTGGCACTTCTGAGCTGTCCCGTGTGCCAGGTGCTACGCTAATTGCTTTTACGTGCTTTTTACCTTTACTCACTTGACTCTTTTAACATTCAATATGAAGTATATTGTCTTTTCTTTTTAATAGAGGACAGGACTCAGAGAAGTTAAGTGACCTGCCCACAATCTCAAAGCTAAAATCGCTGGAATTCGGGCCTGAGCTATCGGGCTTTGTTCGGGGTCCTGTTTGTGACTATCTGAGTCAGAGAAATGGGCTTAGGAATGGGCTTTCTAAGTCCCAGTTCTCTACTTGCCACACTGCTCCTTTCGGCCTTAGGAGGCTAACATTGCCACTTTATTTCACAGGATTGGACTGAGTATGACGAAAAGGCCCAGGAGTCTGTGGGAATCTATGAGGTCACCCACCAGTTTGTGAAGTGCTGAACTCTTGCTGCACACTTGCCCTTAAGGATTGAGAAGGGACAAAGTGCTCCAAGTTGCAGAGCCCACTGAGGCCAGTCCCCTCTTCCCTCATCTCCTGGTAGCTGTACCAAACCTTCCTGGTCTGCATGCTAGGCTCTGTTGTAGCTTCCCAAGCCCCACAAATAAAGCCCCTGTTGGTGCCGCACTGGCGTATGAAGGTGGAGTCAGGTAGCAGCCACTCCCTCCACAAGTTTTCACACTGAGGGCCTTTTCTTGCTTCTTGGCACCTTCCCTTGGATTTAAATCATGCACCTGTCCCAGTGTATAAAATGTGCAAGAGCACGTAGCTTCTGCAGTCTCTCAGGCTCTTGAGGAGTGAGCATGTCCACACAGAAGATTAAAGGTATAAAAGCCAGTGGCACAGAGGGCAGCAGAGCCTGGAAGGATGCCATGAGACCAGCAGTCCTAAGCCAAAACACTGCATTGACCAGCTTGGCCAAGTAAACCCAGCCATCCCTGTTAGGTTTAGCTCATAGTCCAGAGCTAAAAGGGACTTTAGAGATTAGCAGTCCACTCCTGGCGTGTATCTACTCTACAAAAGAGCTGCTCACGTGCTGTGATTGGACTCCCTGCCCATTGAGAGAGTCAATATGAAAGTTCTTCTTTATTCTAAGTCAGCCTCTATGGTCCTTGTAGCTGCTTCTGCTGGTCCTGGTTTGTTTCCCTGTGACCACATTTACATGTTCTGCCTCTAAATAACCCTTTGGAGCTATGAAGACCACAGTCATCACCCTTTAAGTGTCAAGGGCCTGGTTCCCTGGGTCAGAAGATCCCCATACAGTAAACAGAGTTGTTCAGTGAACAGCTGGATCCTAAGAGGATGCTCGTACCTTCACACCAGCGAACCTGCCATTTGGAAAACCTTACCAGGGATCTTATTTCTTCAATGTTCCGTGGGAGGCTGGAATTCTTTGGAAGCAAAATTTTATATCTTTATTTCCCATATTTGAGAGTGGGAAAGGGTTTACCCACTCCTAAGCTTGTTGTGAATTTATAAGAAAGGGATCTTCAGATTTTAGGCAAAGCTGGCCATGTCCAAGGGGGCAAGGAAGTGCCTCCCTCATCCCCTCTGAAGTCTGGCGATCACATCATGTTTCCTCGGTTCCCTGCATTCCTGGGCCCCTGGGTTCTTTTCTACACCTAACAGGGCAGGGCTTTTTCAGTCCTCTCAGCCAGCAGGTCAGCCAGCCCTTTGCCCAGTGGGTCTAGTCCACTGCATATCTAGGAAGCAAATAATACAGGCAACAGTGGGCTGGGCAGCCTTTCTGGTTTTTGGTCTCTGTACCAGTCAGTGTGTGTTAACCTCATAAAGACAAACACTAAGGGGATCTCAAGGTTTTCATTATACTTTATTTTCTCATCTTTCAGGAAATAGGGAGAGGAACCCAAGTAATTATTAGAATAAAGGAAAAATGAAATTATGTCAACAGATGCAAAAAAAGTGTTAAGTAAAATTCAACACCTGTTAACAAAACCCGAGAATTTAGCAAACTAGGAACAGGAGGGAGCCACCCTCACCTGACAAAGGGTATCTACAAAAACAGCAATGCTGTGTTTAATAAATGATAACATGTTTGAAAAATTCCATTCAAGATCGGGTGAGATGAGGATGCCCTCAAACACTGCCTCTGTTCAACATTGTGCTAGGTCCCAAGCAGTGTGACAAGACTATAGAAAGAAAGTAAGAGGAAAGGAAGAAACAACTCGTTTTCCTCAGGTTATGATTTTTGACTGAAAAAAGTCCAAAAGAATTAACAGGTGCTGGATTTAAGATCAAATCAAATGCATTTCAAAGCACTAGCAACACAGGACAGGAAAGACAACATTCATAGCAGTAACCAGAGAGCGACCCAGAATTAACCTGTCTGGGAGTTGTGACCTGAATGGAGAAAACTATTAAACTTTAGTGAAAGGCCATAAAGGCCAAATAAATGGAGACTTAACCTTATTGTTGATGGATAGGAAGACTTGATATTATAAAGATGCTCATTTTCAACAATTACCTTTATAAATTAAATTCCAATAGAAATGCCAACTTAAATAGAACTAGCCACAGTGGTCATGTCTCTGAGGAGTGCTGTCCCCGTTCCTCAGCCAAGTACTACCAGGCTGAGTCCCTCCCTTGGTTGGTCCATCAGGGCTCCAGGGAAGGTCGCTTTCGTGCCTGGCCTCTAGAAAGCCACAGGGCTCACAGTACTGAACATTTTTGTTTTGTGGGCACCCTTGGTGCCTCTGAAGGCTGGCTTGGCACATCCTCCCTGAAGTCTCCTGTACCAAAGCCTAGAGAAGCAAAGGGTCAGAGTGATGTGCCCCATGTGAACTAAGTAGTTCCCAAACACAGCTGGGTACTGGATCATTGGAAAAACTTGAAAAAGACAAGTTTTCTGGCCTCATTTCATTTCTTCTGAATCAGCCTCTCCTGAGCTGAGGCTTGAGATTTTCTATCATTTAAAAATCACACCACCACCCCGCCACAGTGAATTGGGCATCCAGACCGCCAGAATCATAAGCTGGGGCTTCCCAGCAGGGTGCACCCTGGGTTGCTGCAGGGATGGAATGAGATAACGTAGGCAGTGTGTTCAGCACAGTGTCAGGGACCAGCACTCAGGAGTGAATGGCAGCAGTTAGGATTGATCAGAAACGCAGAGGCAGTCTGCACTGTGCTCTACTGACCGCATACCCACTCAGAGTCAGCCCAGGGCCCACTTGTATTCCCAGCCAGACTCAGCTGAGCACCAGCTGTTAATTAATCCCTGCCTCCTAGCCTGCTCCCTGAAGATGCAAGAGGAATGTTGCCGATTCTTTTCAAATGCAAAGATCAAAAACTTTGCCCAAAAGCTATTTTTGCTTCTCCCTAAATTGGGAAATAGTAGACAAGTGACCTTGCCCCAGTTCCCCAAGGATGGGACCATCAGAGCTCCCTCTTCTGGACCCACTGCTTTCCATTTAGAAAGAATTGGTTTGGGCTCGGTGCCTGTGGCTCAAGCGGCTAAGGCGCCAGCCACATACACCTAAGGTGGCGAGTTCAAATCCAGCCCAGACCCGCCAAACAACAATAATGGCTGCAACCAAAAAATAGCCGGGCGTTGTGGCGGGCGCCTGTGGTCCCAGCTACTTGGGAGGCTGAGGCAGGAGACTCGCTTGAGCCCAGGAGTTGGAGGTTGCTGTGAGCAGTGAAGCCATGGCACTCTACCCAGGGTGACAGCTTGAGGCTCTGTCTCAAAAAAAAAAAAAAAAAGAATTGGTTTGGAACCAAAAAAATGTCACAGGAAGCAACAGTTGTCAGATGTTGATTATAAACGTCAGTTACTTAAATTCGTAGCAGATAAAGATAGATTTACAGTAGTCTGTTGGAAAGTACCTACAGGATTTTGGTTATTCATAATAAACTCACTAACTGCAAATTGTGAATTAAAAGTGATCTCAGGTCAGATCAAAAGAAATTATAGCAGACTGATTTGAGCAGCCTGTGCTGTGCTGAAGTGCCCCGTAATGAGATAAAAACAAACATTTCCAGGTCTAGAGCTCATTCCCTATGAGGTACTGGAGAACAAGAGAGGTCTTTCTAGAAGAAAATACTAGGAAGGTGAGGAGGAAGGGCAGACATGATCAGTTGGTAGAGCTGAGGATTAGGGGAAAAGGCAAAGACAATTATGGTCCATAGGGGAAAAGCCAGCACCAAATGTAGAGTTCCAGGGATACAGATTTCAGTTCTATATAGGGGAGATGCTCCTTGTATTTCTGTCCAGAATTGGAATGTACTACATTAGTAGGTAGTGAGCTCTAGATCCCTGGAGGTATTTAAGAAGAGGAACAGATAATGAAGATTCAAGTCTCAGATGTGACTTAAGATCAGAATTATCAAATCAGAATTCCAGTTCTGATGCACGCAGTAAGGAATCAGTGGACTAGACAATCCTGGGAGTTTTTACAGCCTTTGGTTAAGAATCACTTCAACAGACACATACAGGGAGTTCAATTGTCAAAGGGTAGTTGGTGTGAAAATCAAAGACACTTTTCTCTCTTTGGAAGCATCCTAGATAACAGTGTTTTAACAATAACTGAAAAGGGCTTTGCGCCTGTGGCTCAAGTGGCTAAGGTACCAGCCACATACACCCAAGGTGATGGGTTCAAATCTAGCCTGGGCCCGCCAAACAACAATGACAGCTGCAACCAAAAAATAGCCGGGTGTTGTGTGGGCACCTGTGGTCCCAGCTACTTGGGAGGCTGAGGCAGGAGACTCGCTTGAGCCCAGGAGTTGGAGGTTGTTATGAACTGTAATGCCACGGCACTCTACTCATGGGGACAGCTTGAGGCTCTGTCTCAAAAATAAATAAATAAATAAAATAACTGAAAGGGAAAATGAATCTGGAACCAATTCCATCTCCTTTAGAAGATAGGTTCTTGTCAGTTTGTGTCTTCCCTTCCTGGTCTCTTGGTGTTAGTCTGGAGCAAGCCACTTCACGGTAACAGTCCTCATGTTTAACTGTGAGCCCCTTAGCTCACCCTCCTGCCATGCTGCGTAATTGCTAAAGACACCAATACTCATCATCCTGCTGTTGGATATGCCACACAGCTCATGGGTTGAACCCAAGGTACAGACAGACATGATACATTCCTTAGCCCTCAAGACGCTGCTCAGGCAGAACAACAATCGCAGTACCGGGCTTCCGGTGGGATGTGTGCAGTGGTTCTACAAATATTTAAATATTTAATGAACCACACCTGTGTTGCAGCCCTGGGGCTGCCCACAACCTAGCAATGGAGGTGGTTGCGGAAACTGCTAAGTGCTGAGTAAAGGTCAGTTCAGGATGCCACGGGCATCACAGGAGGGCAAGACTGGGGAGCAGTGAGGGGAGCTTTCCTAGAGGAGGTGACTCTAGCTAAAACCGGAAAGTTGAGCAGAAGGTAACCAAAAGGGCAGGGAGGGTGGCATACTCCAGGAAGAGGCAACATTACGTGAGATGGTGTGGTGTCCTGGGAACTGCAAGCTGTCCAGAGAGGTGAGAATGGAAAGATCCCACCAGCAGGGCCAGCTCCATCAGGCCCTCAACTGTCACACTGAGGGATACAGACTTTTTTTTTTTTTTTTTTTTTTGAAACAGTCTCGCTTTGTAGCTCACAGCAACTTCAAACTCTTGGGCC